GGAAGGGGAGGAGGGAAGGGTCCCGATGACGCGCGCTGTATAGCAGGCTATAGAGTAGGGGAGCACTGCGGACAAACAGCTGATGCTCCACAAAAGAGTGACGTAACTCACTTGACAGCGTGCAAGTGAACAATAATACATGTGCGGGCTGGAAACAGGTTGCGGGCCGGCGCGGCCCGACGGTGTGCCGCTGGCCGAGCGCGGCGAGCGCGCGAGGACGGATTGGGATGATAAATCATGACGGTGTTTGCGTTTGCAATGAGACAGCCCGGGTGGGCGACGCGGTGCTGAGCAGTGCTGCGCGGCTCTGAGCGGCGCTGGGCGGTGCGGGGCGTTGCTGCGCGGCGCGCCGGGCGGCCGCGGCTCAGGCTCTGCCCCTCGCTTAATCAAGTGCTTACATTCGCTAGGCGCTGGGCTCGCGGACGCGCCCCCGCTAGGGGGGTCCCCGCCAGGGGTGTTGGGGGCGGCGCTTATCCACAGGTAATCCACGTCGTCTTCATGGTCACTGTGTCCTCACTCACTGCACTTATTCACCGCATGCCGACTATCGTTCGCGCGCGCGCGCTCGCTCGCGCTCTACCCGCGCCGGTGCGCTGCGGCCCGTCGGAGGCCCCCGCGGCGAGGGCGACCTGTGCCTGATGCGCAGCGTGCGCAGCCCGGGCTCGCTCGGCTCGGCCTGCCTGCCCGTTTGGCCTGCAAGCCTGGTGTGGTCTGCTACGCTACGCGAGCGCCGAGCGCCAGGACGCGACGCGCGCCGCGCCGCGCATGCGCCAACCCCTGCGGCCGCCGCCGCGACCCCTGGCGGCAGCGCCGGCAAGCGCCCACTCACCCCTCCGGCCCGCGGGGGAGGGTGGCGGGGGCGGTGAGCATATGCGCACGGACGGACACGGCGGGCTGGACCTGTGCTTTCTTCGTTCTATTCCCCCTCCGCCCCCTCTACCCCCTCGCCGCTCCACCCCTTTGCCTAAAAAACCTTGACGACCTCCCAACCCCTGTGCTGTCCCCTGCCCCGGGCCGCCCCGCTCGCTCCGCTCTAAAGCCCTTGTGTCATCTCGTGTCTCCCTAAACTCTCTGCGACATTTCATCTTCCCTCCCCTTTGTCGCCCGGCCCACCCTCGCCTTGTTCGCCCTCGGTACTCGGTACGCCTTTTCGCTCCGACCGTTCTTTTCACCTTCCGCCTTGCTCCACCGGCCCCTCCCTCGCTCACGGTTTCTCTTGATCTCGCTCTCTCTCTTCCTCTTTCTTTCTCTCTAACTCGTGCATCCCGTGCGTGCATGGCTTGACCTGCCTCATGTGTCCACGAGCACCCTGATAGGCTGTGATCTGCTACGGCCTCGGTGGTTTTGCTGCTGCCGCCCTTCTGGACCCGCGTTCTGGATGTTCCACGGCGGGCAGGGGCCGGGGGCGCCAGGTGGACCGTGGCGGGGGTCTTCAAGCTTAATCCGGGTGCTCTTCCGGCCCGGGCCGTCCCCCATTGGTCCTTGGGGACGGCAAGGGGTGGATGTTCCAACCGCCAAGCGCATGCGGTGAGGTGGGCGGGAGGGGGTTGCCGGAGGGGGTGTGTCAGGGAAAATACCCCCTGGTAACCGAGGGGGCAGCGGTGGCCCTGGTGGCCGGGAGGGGGGAGGGGAGGAGGTTGGGAGGGGGAAAGGGGGGCGTGTGCGCTGCCGCCTCCCAAGCCCAGGCCTGTCCTCGACGCGCTGAAGCTGGACCTCAGCTTGGAGAAGTACAGTACTGGACAACACTTTTGCTCTACTCTTTAATTTCCCTGTGCAGCGGCGTCGCCGGCAGCTCCGCTCTTAGCCTCTGCCACAGCCAAGGTCCCCGCCGCCCAAAACCCAAAGCGGTGTCGCCCACACCTTTGCTTCTGGGTCTCTCTCTCCGTGTGCTCTTGGCGACCTGCTCGTCTAGAACCATGCTCGTGGCTTGCTCATAGCCCGGCCCGCAGGTCTCTGAATGGACTCGGCATTTGCATAAAAGGAAGTCCCTGCGCAGCGTGAAAAGCACTCCAGCGGAGTGGGGCGGGGGCGAATAGTGAGGGGCCGGTAAGCCCTGCGCGAGGAGAGGGGGAGGGGGTAATGGCGCTGCTGAATCGGGGAAAACCAGAGCCCCTCCAGCAAAAATATTTCGCCAGGCTGGCATTAGCTGATCTTGCCGGAGCCTCCCCTGGCCGGTTGAGATAATGTTGAATATGTTACCACGGTGGACTGTGGACTGTGATGTTCACGATCCCGATCAAAATCGGAACCCCAAACCTTTCCCCGCTGTAAAGTGAACGTGAGGCCCATCCCTCTTCGGCACACCGGCCTCAACCCCCCCCCCCCCCTCCCTAACGCGTACTCCCAGGCAATCTCCGCCTTGGGAAAGGTTTGCGATGCGCAGAGAGGGGTTAATTTATTGCAGGGCCTAAATGCTTATGAAGCCGTCACGGCGCTCCTCCCCCCCCCCCCCCCCCCCCCCCCCCCCCCCCCCCCCCCGAACTTCCTCCCTTCCTCCAGCCCCAGCCGCTGGCGGGCTGGTTGCAGCGACGATGGGGAAGGCCGGGCGGCGACTGAGAGCCGCGCCGTACCGCGCGCGGGGCCGACCACCGGCCACCGCTATCGATCCACCCCCCACCAGGCCACCCGCTCTTCTCCTCCGCCCTCTCCCTTTTCCCCTCCTCTCCCACTCTCTCTGTTTATCTCTCTCCCCTCCCTGTCTTTACAGCACTCTCCTTCTCTCTCTGATATTCTCTCTTGTTCTCTCTCACTCTCATACTCTCTACTTCAACCTCACTCTCATTCCCTCTATCTCTCTCCTACTCTCTCAGTAAGGGGCCCACGCTGCTGAAGAGCATGGTAGTTCTGCACGCATGCGCCCCCTCCCCCCTCTTTCTCTCCC